CGGCAGGAGGCAAGCATGTCTGCCCAGCGAGAACGCCAACGCGGCCGCGTGCGCTCCGCGGCTGGAGGCGATTAACACGTATCAAAATGATTATGGACACGTTGCGTCGTGCTGCCGCGAGTGTACACTAACAACACATGGCTGGTTAGGGAATCAGTTCATGCTTGCTTTGCTGTCGTGCGTAAAGGTGGCCATGTTGTTGCAGCATTACTTTCACAACAAGCTCTTCAATCCCACAAGCTTTGCTCCAGCGTCGGGCGGCAGCGGGGCGCAATAGCAATCCTAACCTATCCACGCTCCGGCCACCGGTGCGCAGCTAGTCAATGTGGCAGCATCTGTCGCTGCTGCTCTGCCCATCAGACAGCCGGCACGGTTCCAACGCCAGGTTGTCCATGGTGCCGTCGCAGGAGGATAGAGCCGATGGACGCCGTTGCCCGCGATGTCGGGGTCGACAGCTGCCCACATTCCGAAGCGCTCTTTGTCAGGGCTGAGGGGTAGTCAACAGCCAGATGCAACAGTGGGTGGATTAGGGTGGTGACGCTCCGGAGGGTCTGCGAGGGAGCCAATGGCAACATATTGAGTGCAAGAGAGGCCGAAGGCGTGCCTTTATAGCAGATAAACCTGGCCGAGCTTGAGCGCGTGCGCCTCCTTTGCACTTCTTGGGCACGCTCACAAAGCGAGCGCACCCTGTTGCGTGGCACACCTCTTGGTGTTAACATCCCATCTAGCACCACCACCTTGCCGCAAGTTGCCGGCAGCATCGCGAGCGACAACGGCGTAGCAAGCACAAGCGGAATGCGCTCCACGTGGCTGCCCAACAGAGCCTTGGGCCTGCGCATGCGCACAAAGTTGGACGCAAGCAGTTATGCGCACGGGCGGGCGGGAGCAAATGCGGCCGCACCACGCAACGCATAGGCTTGTTGACAAGCAGCGGCAATTCTTGCCCGCTCCTGGCACGAGGCCGGACGCCCGCTGACGGCACGCGGGATCCCAGCTGCCATGTGGGCCCGAACCCCCCGACCTCAACCACAACCCCCGCGGGCGCAATGCATCCCAACACCGTCCACATCTGTAGCCCACAACACACAGTGCACGGAGGTCGGTCGCAAGCTGTGCGAGCAGGCAAGGCAGGCCGGAGAAGTGCTGGCACAGCCTCGAGCTGCGCTGCTTCAACATCTCCAAGTCGCAGTCCCCCGCCAGCAGCCGCGCACCAGGCACGTGCACGCCGCAAGCCGCGCATGCAGCTGCTGGCAATGCGGGGCTAAATGAAGGCGCCAAACACGGTGATGGTGGGCACCCTGGGGAGGCGGTACACAAAGATCAGGTCTAGAAAAGCCAAAGGTGCGCCTGCAAGGCAGGGGACACAGGGGGTGCGCGGGGGGCAAGTTGAGTGGGCCGGGGGGCAGGAGGATAACCCCACATAAACAGCTTGGCTCATTGGGCTGATGTCCATCCGCTGGGCGACTACAGCCTCTAAGGCACATGATGCACGACCAAAGACCCCGACCGGCGCCTGGCACCAGGCCTAAACAACTTGCGTCGGAAGCGCATGCTGAGGGCGTGGTAGAAATGCTATGCGTCCTCAGGCAGCTTCACAACCACAGCCAAGGAGTCGGCGACGAGGCGGTTCACATGCAGCTTTGACGGGCAGCCGACAAGGCAGGGTGTCGCACCCTCGGTACTGCGATTGGAGCGCGAGTCTTAAGGGGCCAGCCGCCACTCACGCCAACTGCAAACGCTCAGGCGCCGGTGGCCTACGCCTGCGTGGCCGGCCGGCCGGCGCCTGTTCCATCGCCATTGGCGTCGCCGTCGCCGTTGCAGGCCAGGGCGCCACCGCCGCCCCTGCCGACGTCACCCCCGCCATCGGCGGAGCTGCTGACAAAGTGCACGTTGGTGAGCAAGTGGTAGAGCTTGGCTGCGGGGCCCCGCTGCAGAGTTGTCGATGCCACGTTGCGCGCAAAAGTTGATCACTTGCTGCCGAGGGCCGGGGCCAGTCGCCACCTTGTTCCCGGCCTTGTTCCCGGCGCGCAGAGCGGGGTCGTGGGCCGGCGCTGCGGCGGGCCTAAGCCCTTGCATCGCGGGCCCCTCGCGTCCGCCAGCGCCGCCACATAGCGGCCCCCTCGCCCTCTCGGCTGCCGCCGCCACCACCACCATCTTGGGTGGCTGATGCTACAATGCTACATCCCATGAGCCTGGATGGCTCCAGGAGCGGGCGACCGCGGGATCGTGTAACAATCCTAATCCTAATCCTTGGGGCTCCTTGCTAGCACCTGCCCACACCGCTGCCCAAGCCGCTACCCAGGCCGCCGCATGTTGATGCTCTCTGGTCGTCGCCCCGCACGTTCAGCTCGTTCCACGCAACGCTGACGACCCTGCCTTTCTCCTTGCCCCTGTCGCAGCGCCGCCGCTGCCACCAACAATGCCGCTGACGTCAGAAGGTCGCGGCCCCGGAGGGGGCAACTGCAGCAAGAGCGTGGCGTTCATGGCGCCTTTTCCCTGCAGCAACCTTGCCTTCCAGCCCCGCCAGACGACGGATACAATGCAGACGAACGGGATGCGCGGGGCGGGCGTCGGCGGCCGTCATGTCTACCTTGTGCGTGGTCTACACGCAGAACGGGAAGGGCGTCGGACGGCGAGGCCGATCAATGGAGGGGCCACCAAAGATGAAACCCCCCCTGCAGCTCCGATCACGACGGCGTCCCTGCATGCAAGCGGATGGGCCCTCGCTCAACCCCAAACTCCCCCCCCCCCTCTCCTCACCCGCATATGGAGCGGACCGCCTTGAGGCGCGCAAACATGCCATGCAGCGGCCCTGGCGACGCTTCAACCTCCAAACCACCCGGGACAAGATCCATGTTGCGCACACGCGCCGCCGCCGCCGCCGCCTTGAAGCCGGACGCGCTCATAGGGATGTCCCCGCAGCCCCAGTCGCTGACGCCCGCCGCAAACTCCTGCTGACCGGCGCTCAAGCCGACGGCGCGGTAGGTGAAGCGCACGGCCAGGCCGGCGCGCGTCGAGAGGTCGGCGAACATCCGCCACAGGAGCATGGCCTGCTT